ATTGAGCTGATAAATGTTCAAACTTATTTGTTGGGGATTGTGCTACAGTATTGTGAGAAGGTTTTATTTATTCATTCAGACTTTTAATTGTTTGTGTTTTCGACATAATACTTTTATTTTGAAGGACGATCATCGAAAGTGTTGCTAGGAGATCATCGTGTTAGTGACGTCACAGCAGCGTCCTCTGAAGTGCCGTCAGTGACGTCACGTTGAATGTTCAGATCAACAACTATGAAGCTTCTTTCCTCTCGTGTGTCTCTGCGTCGTGACTCGGTCTGGAATAACGTTTGCTGATGAAAACGGTGAGAAAAGTAACGGCTCATATTTACTCTGAACTGTTTGAGATTGAAATGGATGAAAAATAAATGTAAAAAATGTTGAAACATGAAGTCTGGAGACAGAAAAGTAGGAAGTTTATCAGCGGAGGGGAGATAACGTTAGCACCGGAGACTGTTAGCATCGATATTTAGCTCCGTTTGAAACTAAAGGACATTAATACAGAAATATTAAAACATCAACCTCCACAGCTCAGGTGACGTCATCACATTACAGCCGTTTAACAGACATGCGCAGTGTGATGCTCGTCTCTCTGGGAGTAGATGTTGGAGGGCGTCTCCTCCATCCTGCAGAGAGAAAACTGCAGCATCACTCACATATTATGGACCATGATCAATTACAGATAATACAACATGGATGTGAGTCCACTGTGTGAGGGAGTATCAGAGTTTAATGAAGTTTTTAATGAATTATGAAATAAGAGTCAGAATAAATCAAACTAAAAGAAGAAGCAGAGAAAGAAGTTTCACCTCCTTCTCCTCAGAAATCTCAGATTCAAAGAGTTTAATCGGCTGATTCAGAGACACTTTGACTAAAGAAACGTATGAATACTGATGTAAACATTCACTAGTCTCTGTTCAGAAGTGTGACATGTTTGTTTTTTATCTTTGATATCAGATGAATGTGTAAAGAAAAGGATGAGGAGACAGAAACATCAACATGAGGGTTTATAAATGAGATAGATGGTTAAATATGATGAATATGTGTCACATAGTAAAATGTAAACGACTGTGAAGACGCCCGAGTTCAGTGGAAATGATTTCATGATGACATTTAGCTACACAAAGATAAACAGTGAGATTATTATGATCAGAAACTGACATTAGATTATCACACAAACTTAACTTTATTTTTCTGCATGTAAACAAACTGATTCATCCTCGTGTTTCTGTCTCAGGTGGAGTGGTGGTGAAAGAAGACAGTGATGCTGTGTTACCGTGTTCCCTCAGCACCAAGGAGAACATCGAGACGAAGCTGTTTGACTGGAAGAAAGACGATCACAAGGAGGTGTTCATGTACGACGGAGGAGATTATTACGCTCACGGCCTTTCAGGTCAAGACAAACAGTTTGAAGGTCGAGTCTCACATTTTAACGACGAGCTGAAGAACGGTAACGCCTCCATAAAGATCAGGAAGACCAAGGTGGCCGACAGTGGAAACTACACCTGTTTTTTTCCTCGTCTGCAGCCGAGTCAAATGTTCCACATTGAGCTGGTTGTTGGTGAGTTTTCTGGTTCAGTCAGACGTGTTTGAAGAGTCCCAGGTGGATTTCAAATAAACATCTGGCAGGTGTTCATCCCCACAGAGCTGCAGCCACATCTGGAGAGACACAGTTTGTATCAGACATGAAACACGTGATCCATAATGTCACTCTGCACAGCCACAGTTCAGCTCTACACACATTATAAAGGCAGCACATTTACATTCTTCCTCCAGGGTGAAGTTGATCATCTGTCCCTCTAACATCTCATGTCTTTTACCTTCCAGGTGCTATCTTAACCTCTTGGTGTTTGTTGGTTATTTGGAGTATTTTAGTCTCGTATTACCTCCACATTTTAAACTGTATTATTCTGAGAACACAAGGAGCTGATACGTCTTCTTTATATGACTGTAAAGCAAACACTCTGAGGTTTCATCAGGTGACTCCATGTTCATTAAGGTTGTTAAAGAGTTGAACAGACGAAGAATTAAACAGCTGCTAATCAACATTTTCTTTGTTTGGTTTCATTTAATTTCATCTTCCAGATCCAGAAAACTCCGTCATTATTACGTCCATCAGGCTGAAACTCTCAGGACTTGTCCTTCCACTTGTCTTTAATGTGTGTGTGAAGTTTCATGTTGACACACTGAACAGGCTGGGAGATATTTTACAAAGTGCAGTACAGAGTTTGTCCAGCAGGTGTCCACAGAGCTCTCTAAAACTTCTCCAAAGTGACAGAAAGAAGTTAATTAAACTCTTTATGACGCTGACAAAATGTCCAAATGTGTTTAATGTAATTATATAAAACATTTTATTAATATTTAAATACATATGAACTTATCTACATCACTAAATGATGTCTCTTTAATCAGATAAATCAACTTTCTCTCTTATTAGAGGGACTAACTGTCACAGGAAGTCAGAAACCGTTAACTTCCATATATGGTCAGACAGGTAACTTCACCGGAAACAGACTCGGAGGGGTTTCAGGGTGCTGACTTCTCATAGGTTAGAAGTAGCTGTCAATCAAAGTGAAGTAGCGCTGGTGGAGTGATGCTGTCCTCTGATTGGCTGATGGAGTTAAAAGTCCGACAGGTTTTTTTTCAGGAGTCACAGAAAGACACTGATTGGTTTGACCTGTTCCTGGGCGTTTACTTATCTCAGAGAAACTGACAATTATTTGTCAAACTTTTTGTAAATACTTTAAATGTGTTTATCTTACGTTGTTTCGGAAGTTTCTAGAACTTCTGTAAAAATGATCGCGCGTCACAAATGTCCCTTTCCCCTCATTTGATCTACTTCCGCTTTGAGTCAAACGAGCTGGATCTCTTCGCTGGAGTTTACTCTTCAAAACGTTCTCTTGTTCGTCCATAAAACTTTGTGTTTTGATCTGTTAATGCACGTTTACCTGCAGTATGACGTAATAGTTTGTACGTCACTATCTGCTGTCTGCCGTAAAGTAAGTCGGTATGATTGACATGTGGAGAGTCGCACATTGAAGTGTTTGAATCGTTAGAGAAGTGGAACATGTAAGCTGTCAAACTAGTCACATCCTGTTTCTATACATATTCACCTAATTCCATAATTCATGTCGTTTGTTTGTTCATTCACTTTGCAACTTATTTCCGGGTCGTATGCATCCTCCACGCGCTAAAAGATTAAAGGACAGAACACCTGAAAAAATCCAAGGTGAGTCCAGATCCTGCTGACAGGTCTAAGTGTGTTCAAGAAGCTGAGAACCAGAGAGCAGTGTACTCATTGTGTTTGTAATGTTGTTTAAAGAATAACTGTAGAGTGATGATGTTTCAAAGCTTTAGCTTTATTTAGATTTGATAGAATGATTCTGAAATATAAACTCTGATATACCATCTTAACAACTACAGGGACTACAAATACTCATTTCCTCTACTTTGGACTTCCACTTCTTAAATCACTCCTGCATGTGTTAATACATCCTACCTGCCAGTCATACAGGTGACTGGTCTCCATGGAAACCAGTTCACTTTAAATCTCTGTCCTTAAAGGCTCAATGAACTTACAAACATGAAATATACTCAAATAAATCTGCTGTTTATGATCAGCTGTTTTCTACCAAAAGGTCCATTTGCTGCTTTCCTGACTAAATCTGTTTTTTTACACCTATTCCTTCTTTAAATCTCAAGCAGGCTTACCTAGGTCCATTCTTTCATTACAAAGTATAATGCTCCATAAAAGTGATTATCAACTGGCGCCCCGCGGGCCACATACGGTCCCCCAAAGCTTCTCATGTGGCCCCCAGAATATAAAGGATCTCTGGGGAATAAACCATGAACATACAAATAAAATCACAAGGCTGAGATACTCACATGATGTTAATGGGAGACATTACATTTCCCCTCTGACTCCAACTTCTTCACATCAGGCTTGAAAGCTGTGTGCAAGCATATTTTAAATTCCTGTCCCCTCAGTGTCTGTCATGACAAAAGCTGGCCAATGACGACCCCTGATCTGTACTTTGTGTTCACAGGCGCTGCTTCCAAGCCGTCTGTCACCATACTCGACCAATCAAAGGACTGGTCTCTGCTGCAGTGTGAAGTTTATGGAGCTTCTCCTCGACCTAAAGTGGAGTGGAGGGACAGTTCTGGAAACATCCTTCATGCTAAAGAAGCACAGGTCACAGAAAGAGGAGGCAGCTACGACATCATCCTCCAAACCACTGTGACCAAGACCGACCACTACAGCTGTGTGGTCACACAGGACCAGATCAAACACCACACTGAGGCAGAGACCTACGTTCACATCAACGGTGAGATGTTTCTTGTTCTACTTTCTGTTTTTCTGTGCGTTCATTCTTTGTTTTAAATGTAAATGAGTTCTGACTGAATGTGAAACGTGTTTGGATACTTCACAAGTGAAACTTTATTCAAAGTGAGTTTAAGAAATTCAGACTTTCTGTGACTCTCTGAACGGACTAACTTGATGACTGGACAGAGAGAAGAAGAAGAGTGTGAAGGTTGACTTTGAGATCAGTTCCAGACGTACAGAGTCAGTTTCTCTTGTTGTAGCTCAGTGATGTCAGTGTGGACGTGTTTGTGATAACAGTGAAATGTTCAGGATTAGAAAACAGCTTCATGTTGAGTTCACACATTTCAGGAGCAGGCTCGTCAGTTATCATTTCATATTAACAGTTATGTTTATCCCCAAATATTACAAACACTTTACGTTCTATCCATTCAGATCCTCAGAGTTACGTTTGCTCTGTGTAACATTTATTACAAGACATTTTGAAAACAGGAAAAATGAACAGTGAGAAGTTTTGTGCTTTTTAAACAATGAAAATGTCTTTATTTACTTGGCATCATGTAGACCTTAAAAAAACAAGAACTCATCAGTCCTTCATCAGGAAGTCAAACAGAGATAAAGTTGTACTAGGTGGAGCAGATGTTTACATTTATACATAATATGATGAAAATGTAAATATTGACCACAAACAGGAAACACAACAAAAACAAATCAAAACAACGTTTACAGGAGATTCAAACCCAACTCTTACAGTAAGCCGGCCGTGCACCGGACGATTTCAGGACGACTTAGACCTGACTTTTGAGTCGTACGACTGATTTGAAGTCAGGCCGCATTTCAGCCCGATAGCACGCCGTTAGTGGAGCAGTGTACACTGAGGCGTGATGGTCACGGCCCGATCAGCTGCTCCCTGCTGCTCGGATCATTTGTTCATGTGTGATTGTTTTGGTCGTACGACTGCACACACTTTGCACGGTGAGCGCAGAGTCACCAGCTGATTCTCCCACTTCAGGGACTTCTTTCCTGATTGTTCACAAACTGACAGACAGCGTCTAAAATCACCATGGCAACAGCAGGCATGACTGTTTAATCTGTCTCCACACTCCGATCATGAAAGAACCATCAGCAGGAAACATCTGCAGAGCTCCAGCTGACGGGGAGAATCAGTTCTGATTGAGCTGTCAGTCACTTTGTGTTTATTTGGGATGCTGTGAGAGAGAGAGAGAACGTTTTTCCTGGTGTGTATTAGAGCCGACTGAAATACACATCGATCAGACTTCAACCTCCGTCTGTGGACTTTTTCTTATTGACACTTGTGATGCTGAACACTGTACAGTATGAGCTCATGAATTCTTTTAGTCGTTCAGTGTTCACTGGACTTTACATTAAAACTCAACAATCTTTGACAAAAAGACAGAAAAATGAACGTCCTCGTTTAGACCGGGTGTTCAGTAGTCTGAAAGTTATGGATCCAAAACGCCTCCTGCTGGTTCTTCTTCTTTTCTACCTCTTGTTGCACCTCTAACCAACACGTCTGCTCCCTCCTGTGTAGCTTTAGATGTTTGCCAAACTTTTCCCTCATGAGTAAAAAAACATTTCAATTAATTTCTGCATCACTAAATTAAAATCTTTTAAAAACACAAACTCTCTGTGGCGGCTGAAGATAGAAAAATGCTGCACAGAAACTAAGTGTGTGAAAATATAAAGAAGTCCAAAAGTCCAGATATCTTTGTAGATTTATTAAAACAAAAAGGGAAAACAGTATTTGTAAAGAAAAGGTCCAAAAATGATGATTTAGGTGATGATGACGATGACTCACTCACCCCCTTTGTCTAGCCTCCCGCCACCCCAAATGCACAGGTAAAAATAAAGTAAACCACGCCCACTGCTAATTACCAGAAATAATAAGAAACCCATATAAGGAGCAAAACATAACAAATAATCAACTGAGGTAAAAACACACATTATGGCTCCTACACTCCATCTTACCCACAGTTCACCCTGAACTACCGTACCATTAAAAAAAGTTGAATTCTGCATCTCTACATTAAAAGTGTTCACAACACAAAGACGAGTTCTTAAAGACGTTTGAGCTTGTTGTTGAAATGATCACCTCACACTAACCACCAGGTTTAACTGAGCAGCTGATGGAACAAACTGAAGAAACTATTTAGTTCAGAAAACAAAAGAAATGACCAGAGCGAAGAGGAGGTCAGAAATAATTCAAAAAGAATCGAAATGAAGTGAGGAAGATTATTTACTGAATAGTTTATGACTAAAAATACATTCAGGTGTTAATTCTAACTCTTCATGATGTGTTTCTGTGTGTAGGTCATCATATCTGGTCTCTGTGTGAACATCATGAACTCTTTTTATCTTCAAACTAAAACATTCCTGCAGACATGAATCTAAAAGAGCAAAACTAAACAACACCTGCTGCTCCTTCACACAGGATCAGGAGCTCACTTTAATGTTTCACACCTTCAACTCAAACTTATTTACTTGACAGTTTTTACTGCAGCTGGTCCTGCTGGATTCATCTCCATGGTTACCGTGTTGCTGCTCTCTGATTGGACGCTGCTGCAGATGTTACCTGCTCACCAAAGAGCTCCTGACTGAGAGCTGCACTCAGACGTGACTTCAGACTGAATCAGTGCTCTGAAACGAGTCAGTCGTTAGTTATGATGGAGGAAAGATTTCACACACAAACACACACACACATTCAGAAACTCACACACACATTTGTAAGGAGCGGCGTGCCGTCACAGGAATCGGAGACGTTTCAGTGAGTGAGAAGAGACGACGTGTTAATAATGTGAAACATGTCCGAGCTGAATCTACTGAGGCCGACATGATCATTAAAACAGAGTATAACTAGGAGCCTCCTTTAGCTCCAAACACATGCACTGATCGTCCCTTTAATCATTTGATCCATGGAGGTCACTAAAGGCCTTAAAGGGACAGTACACAGTTTGACCGTGTGCTCGTTTGACCTTCTTATGACCACACGGCGTGTTACCTGCAGGAGATGAAAACATACTCGAGCAGCTTCACTAAAAGTCCCACCTTCAAGAAAAACACAGAACCTGAGTGTCCGCTGTGTTTGTCAATATTTACACCTCTCCATCAGACCGCCTTTTCCTCGGGGACTACTTTCTTTAAAAGCGCACAGCGTCCGTGTTCCTCCACGTGCAGCTCGCCGTATCAGATCAGCGTCACAGAAGAGACGAGGAACACGATGGAACACGATTCAACACGACAGGAAAGACATCAACTCTACCTCCAGCGACTTTCTAAAGTTCAGTTTGTGTCCACTTTGTTTGAAATGTGTCGATGTGATCGTATGTTTGTGACTGAGGTCAGAGCTCCAGGTGATGTCACACCTGATGATGTCATACTGAGGCTGCTGGGTAAAGAGGATTAACTCATCCATTCAGACACATTCACACGCCGCCGACGAAGCAGAGGGAGCAACTTGAGGTTAAGCGTCTCGCCCGAGGACACATGGGACATGTGGCTGCAGGAGCTGGGGATCGAACCCCCGACCTTCCAGTTGAGAGACGACCGACTCGCCCACTGACCCACAGCCGCCCCGATGTAGACATATAACTAACATTAGAAATAAGAGTAAATGATATTAGTAGTATTCAGATGTTTTTATATCAATAGCAGCAGAAAAACCAACAAGAATCACATCACATATGTTCCACTTTAGAGCCGTATGAGATGAAAAGAGCGCTTACATCTCCATGGACGCTCACACATTCTCACTGTCCAATCATGAAGGGCTACATGACCTTTAACCTCAACTTAGAGACGGCTCACTCGTCGTCCTGAACGGCTTCTGATCAACGGAGACACAACCCACGTCTGCTGGGAGGGAGTGATTGACAGCTGTTTTGGCCTACAGCCATTCCCAGGAGGCGGGACTTAGCATGTGACAGGCTGAGATAAACTAAGGCGTGTACAGTAGAGGAATATAAAAGAAGAGAAGTGGAGATACATGAAGGGATGTGAAATCTTCTTTCCATGAACCTTTGTTTCCTCCGTGTCCACAGGAGCAGCTTCAGAGCCGCACGTCATTGGTTCTCCTGCCGTCGTTCTTTTGCAACGACGCCCTCGTTTTAATCCACCCAGACACGGCTTCTTGGAGGGGGGGGGGGCTGTGACTCCTCTTCAACATGGTAGTACGACTTCTGGTGCGTTCCATTTACCTCTCAAGTCGAATGTCCGAGCTAGGATTGACGTCACACCCGAGTTGAGCGCGTTCCCATGACCAGTTTGAAAACCAGTTTGACCAGCAACATGGACGCCTCCAGCAGTTCTTTAGTTTGATAACAACACACTACGTGATAGTTTGTGTCTGAACGTCACATGACCACATGTCCACAGAGAGAACTTCCACGATACCATCGGTGTGATTGATTTCATTACATCAGTTTCAGCTTAAACGTTACTGTAGATGCACGCAGCAGCCATGTTGGATTTTAGCTCGGGCTACTGAGGTCGCTCCGAGTTTCCAGAGTTGGAGTTCTGACTTCAGGGCCGTCCTTCCTCCTCCAGGTGGTGGCAGGGCGTACGGTTGGACAGGGAGGGGTTCCCTCCAAAAGAGACATAAATACTGCTGAAGGAAACATGGCAGTCCCGTATTTGTGAACTCAGAGCTGAGAACAACAAACCCAGAGGGAGTTTAAATTCACTCTCTTATTATGAAGTCTTTACTCCACAATACTAAATGTTTATTTCATGTCATGTTAATATTCAGAATGTCTTTTAAATATATTGCTTGTCTTCTTCTTTGTGATACTTTACTTATCTACCTCCACATGCTTTAATCTGAAACATCTATTCTGCAGCTTTCTGATGAAATCTTTTGTTTCCTCCGTGTCCACAGGAGCAGCTTCAGAGCCGCACGTCACCATCCTCGATCAATCAAAGGACTGGTCTCTGCTGCAGTGTTTAGTCAGAGGAGCTTCTCCTCGACCTAAAGTGGAGTGGAGGGACAGTTCTGGAAACATCCTTCATGCTAAAGAAGCACAGGTCACAGAAAGAGGAGGCAGCTACGACATCATCCTCCAAACCACTGTGACCAAGACCGACCACTACAGCTGTGTGGTCACACAGGACCAGATCAAACACCACACTGAGGCAGAGACCTACGTTCACATCAACGGTGAGATCTTTTCATAGTTTCAACTCTAAAGCTGATCTGATGAGACAGGAGGAAGTTTATTCAGAATGTTTCAGAGTTTTAATCCCACGTTTCCTGAGACTCCTCGCTCTAAATATCCTGAATCTACATTTAAGGCTTCAAACAGAAACTGAAGGTTGTGTTTAAAGGTCACATATTCTCCTCCTAATAAAGATGAACTACAGAGTAACGTTAGTTTGTCCTGATGATGATGAACGGCAGGAGACCACCAGTCTGAAAAGATGTTTCATTTTATTCATAATTCAGCATTTTATATTTATGTGAGGGCTGTCCAACCAGCAACATTTTGAATCTCCATTAATCGCTACATTTCAAAAGTTAGTGGTGATTAAAGACATTTTGAATCCCGTGTGTAACCCTAACTCTAACCCTATGCAGTAACATGTTCAACCTGTAATATCATGTATGTGGGAGAAACAAACAAGCAGCTGAAATACAGATTGAGACGACAAATCTACCAAAGAAACAAAGGCAAAGAAAATCCGGCCGTTTACATGCACTTCAGAAGACGTGGAGCAGACCATCTGAAAACAGAAGGCATCAAAAGCAACACAAACTGGTCCAGAAGTCAACGCCTCAGAATGGAAACCACGTTCATCAAATGATTGAAAAGAAAGAAACCAAACGGCCCAAATGAAAAACTTTGATTCAGGCCGCCATCTCCTGCTCAGAAGACGGAAGGACAGTTGTTTGGTTTCTCTGCTTTTAACTGCAGCCAACAAGGAAAACGGGGAAATACCGCCACCTGCTGGTGCACCAACAACAACACGGTTTCCCCTACCTGCTTTTATCCACGGTGCAATGCTGCCACCTGGTGTCCAAAAGGTGGAAGGACAGTGAGAGGGATTGTTTCACATCTATGGAGTTTTAGATCAAACAAAAACTAGTTTGAAATGTTTTCATCTTGTTTTAATGAATGGATGACTTTGTGCATGTTGTTTTGTGTGTCTTTTACTTTCCTTTATTTATTGACAGCATGATCTTAGCACTTTATTTAAAGCTTGATCAGGACACACAGAGTATTGCGTCTATATCGGCCTTTGCAGGTCGTCAAAGAAAAGAGTGCAGCGAGGGACTAAAGACGGGAGTGAAGCTGTGACGTCGTTATGAATGACTTCCAGATCCAAGATGCTTTAGTCATTTATTCTACAAAACACAAGAAACTACAACTGCAGTTACCGGGTGGTAAAATCAACTTGTGATGGCAGTGCAGTGTAGTGTGGCGCTCAACAGAAATGTTCTGCTCCCACGCTCAGCCCCTCTCTCCATCTGAGACTAAACCAGGTGAACAGGTGAGTGCGGCTCATATAATCACTGACATCACCACGACATGTCCCACCTGTAACAAGAAGTAAACAATAAACAAAGCAGTAAACAAACCATGAAACCAAACACACCATCAACTTCCATTCATGGCTCCGACACAGAGGATCCAGAAAGCCTCCAGCCTCCACAACAACTCCATCGTCACGCTCCAGGAGAAACCTCACAGCACAGGATACAACAGCATCAGCGTCTGTAACGTATCCACCTCCCACTCACCTGTATATATCAGAGTCAGCAAACCAGCTCCACCAATCAGGACGTTTGTCACCACAGGGAGGACACATAGAGCACTTGTTTTATTGATTTATTACTACCCCATGAACACTTTGAACACTAAGCTGCATGTGATTTAACGCTGTCCTCTTTTACCGTGTGAACTTTGATGATTTAACGACATTCATGAATTCATTTATTTCTTGTTGTACTCACCTGTTAGAGAAACTTACCTGCATCATTTCATTCTTTTCTTTGCTCTCACAGGGGAGGAGGGTCAGGGTCTCCACCTCACCTGTACACAAAGAAACAACAACTTCCCACTTACCTGAACCCTAATCCTAACCATCCATCTCCACATCGTCCTCTTCCCTGCTTTTTATTCTTAAGCTCACCCACAATCCTAAAGCTAACCGTGAACCCAGCAGCCTCCCTAAACCTGACCGCTTCCTTCTCTTCAACACAACCAAATGAATCTGTTTACTTTGAATCTACCATGACATCTTTTAATGTTCTTCTCTTTTACACTTTTAGCTCTTTTTAGGCTTTTATGATCTGCTTTCTCTCCCGCCTACTTAGAGGGGATTTCAAGAGGAGGACCCCCTCCTACCAATTAAAGAAATACTGACCAGGGCCTGTGCCATCTTTGGACCACAAGCTGCTCAGACCTAAGTCCCCTAACCTATATACAAACTGATAGGCTTTTATTTTGAAGGTTTGCACTGTCTTAAGCTGAGAGTGCTTTCCTTGCTGTGTGCTTTTATTTTGAAATACAGTAAGGCCCTTCCTGTAGATGGAAGATAAGGACATGAAGTTAAGCACAGAAACAGGAAGTGGTTAGAGATCCCAAACTGAGGTCAAACAGCTCAGAGGAACGGTAACAAAGGTCAATGTGTGATGTCATGAGGTCACTGTGTGATGTCATGAGGTCACTGTGTGATGTCATGAGGTCAGTGTGTGATGTCATCAGGTCAGTGTGTGATGTCATAAGGTCAGTGTGTGATGTCATCAGGTCAGTGTGTGATGTCATGAGGTCAGTGTGTGATGTCATAAGGTCAATGTGTGATGTCATCAGGTGGATATTACTGTGAGAGTTTGTTAAAGTGAAATGAGACGTTCAAAGATGCAGCAGTGTTCTTCTTGTCCATCAGTGAGACTACAGGGAGACACTGAGGACCACTATCTACGGAGAGCCTGAAGGGACAAACAGGAGATTAATGTGATTAACTGGTTAACGCTGACAGCTCGTATTTATTTGTTTTATTTCATTACTTTGTGAAAATACGCTCAGTATAATATTTGTTATCACTGATTTTCATGACGTTGTTTGACAGCAATGATGTCATCATCGGGGGCGGAGTCATGTCTGAAATGTTTTATTATCGTGCTGAATGAGAGCAACTTTAATTTAAGGTTTATTTTTGTGCTTTTATTGTGAAAGGACAGAGCATAGAGTCAGAGAGAGAGAGAGAGAGAGAGAGAGAGAGAGAGAGGGGAATGATGTGCAGGAAAGAAGCCTCAGGTTGGATTTGAACCCAGGCTGCCCGCTTGGATGACTACAGCCTCCGTACATGAGGGGCGTTCAAACTAACCACTAGGCCACCGGTGCCCCAAACGAGAGCACTTCAGAGTCCACTCCAGAGAATATGTGAACATCAGACTGAAGTTCCTGAAGCTGCAGACAGAAGAGGAAGAATCAGGGAGTCTGCTGGAAAACATGAGAAAGAAGTGAAGTTAGTTTTGAATGTTTCCGTCAGTCTTCTTCACGTTGAACACAAACCCAGTATCAGATCTGAAACCAGCTTCAGTGTCCTCGTTCTGAGGATCCAAGTGAAAAGACGTCTCAGGACGATTCAGGGACTGAAGTCAGAAGAAAGCAGCCACGTTTATTTTCCACAGGGGAAAGAAATGTGGTTCTAATATCTGTGAGTTATTGTCCCACATGTTGAAGTAGCTGCTGCGTTTAGTGAGAGACGAAGGAAACAAACATGAAGGAGGAAACTTCAAACATGTACAAACTGTTTCATTATTGATGTTTGTTTTCATTTCTTCACTCTAAACTGACGGGAGACTAAAAAGTGGGACCAAACTTGAAGTGTGAATCAGTTCAATGATGGTTCCTGGTCATCATTTGATCCCTTACAGACACATGTGGACTTTAAAGTGCAGTTTGTATGAACGATGTAAACATGTTGTTCATCACGTCACAGAGAGAGTCCTGGATGATCAACATGTTGGAGTGAACGTCGTCTTTACACGCTCTTTCTTCACTGCAGCAGAGTGTTGCTGGATCACAAACTGAACTCAATTTAAACCAGATTTCAGTTTGAACTTGAAGAGAAACTTTACATGAAAACATCAGAGACATGTTGACATGTTTCAATCTGAAACCAGGAGGACAAAAAAGTCTTCAGCTCCACATTTACTTTAAGAACCAGTGTGTGTTTCACTGTGTGTCCACTAGAGGGCGCTGTCAGCTTGATCTGCACCTTGTTTAAAGGTCATCTCGCTGCATACAGTCACAGTGTTTAACTGATCACATCTGAAGTTTCATTTCAAACTGTTTTTAGTGTTTATTTAAAGATTGTTGATCCTTTAATGAGCTAAAGTTCCAGTTTCAGTCGTCTCTGAGAACATGAGAGGTTTAAAAACTCTCCGTAAATGATCCTTAAAGTATAAAAACAGCTCTTTAAAAAACGCTGAGACGAGTTAAACTCCTTTATTCAAAAGTCCTGCAGGTCAAAGTGTCAGGTGAATAAACTTCAAGTAGTTTAAAGCATCATGAAACTCTAAACTGTGACGCAGTAAACAGTGGTGAGATGAAGTCCAGATGTGATGTGTGTAAAGATCCAGATGTTGACGAGCAGGAGGTGAAGATGGTCCTTTGGGTGCTCAGAGTGTGCTCACATGTAAACAGTGTGAAGTGGATTCAAAGTTTGTCGGTGCTGATGAGCAGCTCGTCTCAGAAACAGGACGAAGCTCCAACATCAGCCTCCTCACTGCTGAGAGCCAAAAACCAAAAGGAGGCTGAGAGCCGAGCAGGAGGAGACTGAGCATCAGAGCAGAGCTGACGTCACACTGCTCACACACACAGAGACACACAGAGACACACACACACACAGAGACACACACACAGAGACACACACACACACACACACACACACACACACACACACACACACACACACACACACACACACACACACACAGAGACACACACACACACACACACACACACACACACACACAGACACACACACACACACACACACACAGAGACACAGAGACACACACACACACACACACACAGAGACACAGAGACACACACACACACACACAGAGACACACACACACACACACACTCTCACACACGCACACTCACACACAGAGACACACACACACACACACAGAGACACAGAGACACACACACAGACACACACACACACACACACTCTCACACACACACACACACACAGACACAGAGACACACACACAGAGACACACACACACACACACACTCTCACACACGCACACTCACACACAGAGACACACACACACACACACTCTCACACACACACACACACACACACACCTGCTGTTCTCTGTGTGTCCAATGTGACGTCCAGTCTGATCTGAGTGTGATATGAAACTACACTCTGAGTGATACACAAACTTTTTGTTTCTGTTTCAGGTTCTATTGTTGGATATGTCGTTGCTGCTGTCGTGACATTCGTCATCACTCTTATTGTTGGTGTCATCGTCCAAGCTGCTCTCTTTGTCACAGGTCGCATCAGTTGTCGTAAAGGTAAGTTAAAGAACATAAAGTCTACCTGTGTGTCTCTCTTTAAGAGTCTTGTCAGTATCTCCTCAGTCTTCAGTCTGTTTTTTACTCTCTCAGTCAGATCAGTCAGTCGTGATTTTCTTGAACATCATTTCGTTTTTTCTTCCTGCAGACGAGGAGAAAGGTGAACCCATAAAAGACCGCACTGAATCCGACCTTCTAGCTGAATGAAGTCAGGTAGACTCACGTCGTGTTCCTTCAAACCTCTGACTCTGGAACTCCAAAGTTATTGAAGCTAATCTGCCTTAATCCCAACATGAAGATGATTTCATCTGTTTGACCATCATGATGTCATACTTGAAAACAGCTGAGTGAGGGATCAAATCCAACCAGGTGTTTGTTCTCACATTTTAATGAACGCCGTGGAGATCGGGCTTTTTCCAATCAGAGCCCGTCGACTTTGGAACGACCTGAGGAGCATGTTCATGACACATCCTTACACCTCTAACGTTTACTCTGCTTTAAATACACTGCAGCTTTAATGCATGATCATTTCATTAATATCATCTGTGAATGGAATCCAGGGTTTAAAACATAAAGGTCTCCCTGTGAACATCCAGAGAGCCTCTGACTGAGGATTTAAAGAAACACTTTGAAAAACAGGATTGATGTGAGAAAGTGTGAAATAGAAGTCCCTGTTTGTGTTTGCTCTCCTGTTGATCCAGTGTGTGAATGAAGAAATGAGAGCAAAGGCGCTTTACGACTGACGGAGAATCAAAGCCTCAGTACTTCACTGAACTACAGCTGCTGTTTGACTGTAAATACATGAGATTCTGTTGCTGCTACACTGAGATATAATGAGACTTTAAGATGTGGGACGAGGATGTATCTCTTCTTTAGACTTTATAAAGCCGAGTGTGTCAGGTAGAGACAAACACAGAGCTGAAGTATGCTCCTAAACGTTTCTTTATGCTGCTGATGAATGACGCTCTGATGGTTACAACGTGATATCAGGCTGTGCTTCATCATTCACATCCACCTGCTGGAATAAAACATGATCAATGTTACACTGTGTGTTGGGACTGCTTCTTATGGAGCAGGATTTTTAGGATCAATTAGTGAGTTCACATCATGACTTTGTTGTTTTCTTATTTTTTAATATCAGGATTCATCGTTTTATGTCTGGTTTGAATTTTTAAATTCTAAATTCAGACTTCAGATCTGTTTCCACATGTGGCACTTCTCCTCCTGTAAGTGTTTGATGTCTGAAGAGAAGAAATCAAGAATATTTATATGAAATAAAAACATTATAAACTGTAAACATGATGAGATAAACATCAATCTAAGTCAGGGATGTCAGACAGACGTCCCGCGGGCCGTATCCGGCCCGATAGCAGGTTTCATCTGGCCCGCGAGACGTTTTGGGAAGAAGGAGGAAATGTATTGAAAAATATTTTGAGATTTTTTATAAATTTATATTTGTGATACGTATTTTCCCCGAATTGTATGAAAACGTATTTAAAATGAGCAACGTAAATGTTAATATGATAGGAATATTAATTTGAACTATCTTCTCAGCAGGGAGCATCACGAGCGTGCAGCGTGCACCCCCAGCTCGACACGATCATGCATACATTTTATTTTATTTTCTCGCAAGTGTCGTGTATAGTGCCCACTTATACAATCAGAAGTGGCCGTGGACATTTACATTTGAAAAGCAAGGCAATAGAAATGTTCAGGTAGCTTTTCTAAGATCAACCCAGCAGTCTCCTGTCATGTGAATCAAACAGTGGCTCAGTGTTTGTTTTGAAATACATCGTCACTGTTTCAAAGTATTTCTTTGTCAGAATGGGTCAAAGTGGTGTAGAGGTCTGTTATGTTGTGGTCTGTAAGGCTGTAGCCTCAGGTAAAAACCTTAATGTGTGCGGGTATTTGACATGATAAGTAATGGATTTGATTAAGTGTCACTGTTCAGGTGGTGCACGCTGTAAGGCAGGAGGCAGCTGATTAGGTGTTCATTTTGTTTTAGTGAGATCGAATCCAGCTTGGCGCGATCATGAACATGTATTATATTTTCTTTATTTTGTATTTTTCTTAGGTGGCTGGGATGAAGTGCTCACTCATACAATCATATTTACCGCAGTAGATTTAAAACGCGACTTGAAATCAGTGCAAATATGATCAGACAGGCATTCTCCAGGTCAGCTACGTTTCCTCTCCAAAGTCGGGAACATCAGCTGTCGGGTCCGTTCGGGAACCAGACAACATACAACACCGGATGATGTTTGGGAGAGGAAAGCCGATGGGAAAGCTGTGTGTGTGTGTGTATACTCAGTAGTTTGTGGGTGTGTGCTCGTTCATAACAGAATACGTACTGTTAGAGTTGTTTGTGACATTAAATAGATTTACAAACAAAATAACAGTCGATTTGCAAAGAACTGAAGTTAGCTTCAGAGTGTCTGTGCTAACATGAAGGAGCTTCTGTTCCTCTGTCTGCTCCTCCAGATAACACCTGGACGCGCAGAAGGTAAGATATATAGATAAATAGATAGATAAATATATAGATAGATAGATAGATAGATAATATGGACCTTTTGTCGAGTTACCTTAGTTACTGTTACTAAATATTTTTAAGTACGATCGAAGTGTGATGCTAACGTTAGCTCTCGTAGCTGTTAGCTGTCTTCCTCTTCTGACCTCTGAACTCCATCATTGACCATTTCTGGAGCCAGGACTCTGAAACATCCTCTCCATGTCGCAGCTGAGAGTTATGTTCACAGTTTGGCAATCTCTTACAGCTTAATGCTAAACCCCCACTTTTAAAGTGACTGTTAGTGGAGGTGTCACAGAGAACACCTGTTCATGTTCTGTCTGTAACTTCATTAAGCAAACAATATTATTCATTATTACTGACTGTAGCTAAACCTACTAGGCCAGCAAGGAAAGCAGTGAGTGTAATATAAACAGTAAATTATCTTGTAACCCAAACAACATGAGCATACAAACACCAGTTTACCTGTGACTCCCTGGCCTCCACATTCTGAGTCTCACCTGGATCGTGCTGTCAACAGGTCAGAATAGACTTCAGGGGAATGCTGACTGCAGTTACTGTGATCTGAGTATGCAGTGTGATGAACTTCAGCCTCTCTGTGGTCGTGATGCTGAAGGAAAGAGGGTGAAACTCAAAGTGAACTCTAGTGTTGGGCAGCAGAGGTAGTGTTAAAACACAGCAGCACCTGCAGACCTACACAGCAGGGCTGTCATGATACCAGAACTTTGATCTTCAATACAATACTCATAAAAATCAATTGATATCAAAGCCTGTTTCATTACCATGGCAACAGCAATATAAGTCTTAGGCCTCCCAATATGGGATACTTTTTGTTTTGTGTGATCGAGCAAAGTCCTGTGAATGTCTCAGTGAACTCTGGACTGTGTTGTCAGTCATCATCCAGGTGATGTGAACAAACCTCTGCCGCCCTCTCCTTCTCTTGAGCTGCTGTTGGTTAAAATATGAAGATATGTAGGTTACAATAAATATCTGCCAAATATAAACAACTTTATAAATGCTTTAAGTGTAAAGGATTGAATTATTATTTGTTAGAAAAAGAAAAGAAACAGTTAAATGTTTGTTATATAGTAGGATGATATTTTAGAATAACTCAGGCAGCTTCCATGAATGTGTTGTAACTTTATTTTTCTGCATGTAAACAAACTGATTCATCCTCGTGTTTCTGTCTCAGGTGGAGTGGTGGTGAAAGAAGACAGTGATGCTGTGTTACCGTGTTCCCTCAGCACCAAGGAGAACATCGAGACGAAGCTGTTTGACTGGAAGAAAGACGAAAACAAAGACCGCAAGGAGGTGTTCATGTACGACGGAGGAGATTATTACGCTCACGGCCTTTCAGGTCAAGACAAACAGTTTGAAGGTCGAGTCTCACATTTTAACGACGAGCTGAAGAACGGTAACGCCTCCATAAAGATCAGGAAGACCAAGGTGGCCGACAGTGGAGTCTACACCTGTGAGTTTCCTCATCTGCAGCCGCCTCAGAAGTTCACCATTGAGCTGGTTGTTGGTGAGTATTTTGACTAAACTGTTATTCCTACAAATATTTTTTAAAGATCTCCAGCTGCTGTTTTCGGTGAAGTTTGACCCAAACTGTTAATTCAGTCTGTTTGTAACTTTTACAAGAAGTGACAGAGTTTCCTCTACAAACAATTCCCCAACTCAATCTCCCACCACCCCAAGAAGAAGTCATAAAAAATACTTTATTTATGAAAATGTTCAATGAATTACCGTAAAACTTAAAATAAAAGACCATCCCAAATGAAGGCCCAGTCCCTTTTACTAGCCTGGTGCTGCTGAACGTTTTGACAAATAAAGACAGCTCTCAGTTAGAGGACGCTTTGCATTTAGTGTTGATCAGTTTGTGGATGAGCTGCACGGCGGTGCAGTGGTTAACGCTGTCGCCTCACAGCGAGGTAGGGATGGGTATTGTTAGGATTTTAGCAGTATCGATATCGATACTGCTTATCGATACCACTTTTATTATTTGGTGCAGCAACTAAACACATGGCATGAAAGATGTCTAAATGTAAAACATAAAATAACTAGAGATGTCATCACAGTAACTTTATGTTTATGTTTCAAGGAAACATTTGTTATTTAAAATTAAATTATTTTCAATTTGAAACACTTGGAAATACATTTTTATTACACTCCCCTGACAGTTTGAGTAACCTCAGAAACTCTGACTGTAGCATATGAACTCTTATGGTTATACTTTGATTTACCATTTCATTATCATTAATGTTTAATAGTCTACAATGAGCTCTGTGATGCCTCTCGCGGTACGTCAGGGCTTTTCTATCACAGTAAACCGCTGATATGTTAAAATAATGTCATTTTACTGAGACCAACACATCAGGGTGCTAAATATTAACTTAATGATATGATATCAAGACACATCGCTCTCCCACGGGCCGAGAGAGAGAGAGCGAGCAAGAGTGCGTGCATGCACGTTGACAGCTCAGAGCAGCAGCGACATAAAAGCGGTCATTTAGTCCTGCAGCCTGATGTAAAGCTACAGGTAACAACACTCAGGTAAATCACTGAAGTCAATGAGCATCATCTCTCTGTTAACAGTGACAAACACAGGAACGATCCCCCGCAGGCTGCAGAGGCAGCGGTTGATCCTCCGTATTATTTGGAGCAGAAAATAATTATCAGAATCATGCCCTGATCGTTTTACCCAGAACATGTGATGCTATATAGAAAGATATTCAGTGATTTGTTGATTCATCATCAGGCACATATATACCTGTAGAGTATGAGAAAACGTTTGAATCCTTCTTGTGTGCGTGTCACGTTGTGCCACCGTGCGTCTCTGTGCAGTAAATTACATTTATTTCCCTTTCGTTCAGTCAAACACTGAAGTCTCCTCTCAGCTGAGCCCTGCCTCTAAAATGTACAGGAAAAGCGAGCCGCAGCACGTTAATGCAAACTAAAGGTTTGAAAGAAGCCGGCTGTAATTGAGTGACTGGTCTGCTGTTTGGCCGACAGCAACGCTTATAGAAAGCCCTGCATTAAATAAGAGGGACTAATGTAAAGACTGATAAGAGCACCGGTATCCGGTACACATCCCTAGTGAGGAGGTTCCTGGTTTGAATCCCCGTCTGACAGGAGCCTCTCTGTGTGGAAAAAAAAAAAAGTAAATAAAAGCCTGGGTTACTAATTTATACCAATTTTTCAATCAAGTTCTTTTTCATCAGATCGGTTTATTTTTTTAAAATAAAATTTGAATTACAATGGTGAAGCCAGTGATGATTAAAGGCAAACTGAGACGATGCTGACAACACTAATGAGCTCACCTGCTTCAATTAACAACCTGACATGATTTCTTCTACTTCCTCTCTTACCTTTGCTTCATCTCTCTGTCACTTTACAAGCTGCTGAAGTCAACGACTCGTAAGTTTCTCTACATCCTGTCTGATTCTGCTTCCTGCTCTGTCTCTGATCTGCAGTTATTCCTATTACACATCAGGTCAGACTTCTTAATACGCACTCATACACTGAGGTTCTGTCATTTTAGTTTCCCTCCACAACTAAATAATATTACAGGAATAAATATGTTAATGTTCTGCGCTCCCCCAGCGAGAGAGAGAGGGGCAGCACTAAGGGGGGGGGGACCCGCCACAGGCAGAGAGGTGAGGAGGGAGCAAGTGCAGGGAAAGGTTCTGTGTTTTTCCTCCTGTATGTAGAACCTTTTTCTCCTCTGCTGATGGGCATCTCACATCTACACAGACGGCATGTTAGCTTGTTGTGTGTGGTTAGTGTTTGTGTTGCTGTGCGCTGTGCGGGGCATGTAACGGCTCGTGTGAGTCTGATCGGTTGAAAATCAGCGATACTCGTGAGGACCGGCCGGTCACCGGTCAGGGCCGATCTATCGGTGCACCCTTAGATTTCTGTGATGGAGAAACCAAACTGCTGTCCAGTTGCTTCATGCTCTTTCTATTTCACTTTCACATGACCTCGCTTTAAAACATGAATGTAAATAATCTCACGATGTTCTACTCCATCAGATCCGGAGGAGTCAAAATTAGGAACACAAAATTATACTCACTAATGACTTTCTGTCTCAGAAGCCCACAGTGGGTTTCTGCCTCACCTGTAAAACACAATCTGTTTTTTTAGTCTAATCCAGACTGAGGGTGGTTTCACACTATCAACCCGGGCCCTGATCCAAGTACACTTGACCACAAAGTGTACCGTACTCAGGTACTGTGTGGGTACTCAGCTTGAAGAGGTGGTCTCAGGCACGATTCATGTGTATGTTTGTCCTCATGTTTAAACACACAGCAACCACAAAGGGACCCGGTCATAGACGAGAAGTTAAAGACCTCCACAGTTCACCTGTTAGTCTCAGAGCATTCTTAGTGACATTAGAAAGAGGGGAACATAAACACCAGAGATGTGGGAGTGAAGTTGTGTCGCCTGTTTCTGTGGAGGCTTTTTATCATAAGGAGGTTGCTAGGCAACATGAGAAGTTCAGGAAGTCGTTGTGCTCGACCAGGTGATAGATTCTAAAACTAAAAGCACAAACTAGTTTCCACATTTCTCCTGATGTAGACTTGAATCACTTCACTTGGTGTAAGTTGTTCATATCTCTGCTGCTCTGTGGATAAAATGTTTTCTGATTTATCCTGCAGAACCCGTCTTTAAAGATCGCTCAGGAGAAAACCCAGGTGAGTAATGATGTCACTTCATCTGCAGTATGTACGCTACAACTCTCAGGGCTCTCTCCTTCATTATTTATATTTATGTGGAGCATCATTTACAGACTGATGAGATCTTTGATGTCTACACTCAATCTGGATGAGACTAAAACAGATTGTGGTTTGCTATCTGAACGAGGCCTTAAAGTATGAACTCCACAGAAGAATGATTTGAGATCCAGTGACTGATTTCTACATCTACCAACAGTAGTTTGAACACAAACACTATATTGGACACTTTGATATTTAACAGCCTCTGAGTGACTGAGTTGTAGCACACACACTGTGGATGTAGAAATCAGTGACATCATCACTCACAGCAAGAAAATTTACAAATCTAAAGATGTTTTCAACGAGATGCAGTGAGAAGTTGAGGAATGAGTTGTTAAATGTGTTGTTTCATCTCTACTTCAGCACAGTGGGAAGTGTTCCAGATCTAAACAACTAAAAATGATTGAAACTCTTTATTGAGAAGAAGTGCATTTAGTCACTATGATAGTCTTTATATAAAGCTGTGTACGTAATCTGTTCACAGTCGCATCTCCAGAGCCGTACACCAGGACACTCCATCAAACTCAGGACCGGGCGCTCCTGCAGTGTGAAGTTCGAGGTGCTTCTCCAGAACCTAAATTGGAGTGGCAGGACAGTTCTGGAAAGCTCCTTCATGCTGAAGAGACACAGCGGTCCATCACAGGAGGAAAATACGACCTCACTATTCAAACTAATGTGACCAAGAGCGGGGAGTATCACTGTGTGCTCAAACAGGAGGGAATCCACCATAACATATCTGCCAAGACGTTTGTCTTCATCAGTGGTGAGGGTTTCTTTTATTAATGTTTTGTTATTGGTTCATATGTTGTGTTTTTGTAGTCTGACCAATGAGCTGCACATAAAACAGTATCATAGTGAGTGTTACATTAGTTTGTTTTTCTGTTTCAGAGAAAGTGTGTGAGGACTCATCTGTCAAAGTCTTCAACGGATGGATCGGAGGATTGGCTGTTGGATTGGCTGTTGGAGCTGTAGTTCTAGCTGCACTTGAAGCTTTGACTCTACGGTGCAGCCCAGCCTTCCGTCACAAAGGTAGGTTTAGAAAACGTTTCATATTAACATATTTGTAATCTGAATTAACTTAACAGGCCGTCCAACACAAATGTTTGGGGCGGCAGTAGCTCAGTCCGTAGGGGTCGTCGGTTCAAGTCCCAGTACGGACCATAATACAAAATTGTTCTGGTAGCTGGAGAGGTGCCTGAGCACGGCCTAGGTGCCCTTGAACAAGGCACAGAACCCCCAACCCCCCCAGCTCGTCCTGTTTGTGCATATGTGTGATCCAGACCTTTGTTATTTAGGGACATGCATCTCACACACAGACGACTGTGTGCATGTTCAGATGAAGGCTTTGACTGTTCTACCATCATGAGAGGACAGAAGATGTGACCGTTATAACTCCTGTTTCTTTATGTCAATGTTTTCTTTCTCCTGTTTACAGTCATAGACTTCTTATCTCAGCTGAGACCTCAACGTAATAAACCTCAGAATGGAACCGTTACTGAATCTATGATCACGATGGGTCCTGGTAAGTCCACTTTTCTTCTCATTATGTGAAAGAACAACAACTTGAAGGCTTCAGATCTGATTGGTCAGAGTTTCTTATCTTTCTACAAACCGATCTCTTACCCCGAACATTAGCTGCTCTGGAGCAGGTTCGGTCATCAGAAGTTACCATGGTGAAGTAACCACCTTCTAAAATCCCAGAGTTAACCCCGTAGTGACCTCAACAACTAAAAATCCTCCTTCCTACTTCAGGCCTCAACGTCCCAAACTGGAGGACTTATCCAGACCAGAACCAAGTTTGCTGTACCTCATCTATTCTCCTGATTATCAAGTTATTTCAAAAACAAGATTTAAAGAGAGGTGATGGCTTTAATCCAGATCTCTTTTGAACACCTGACTCAGAGTGCACACAGCAGAGAGACTACAATAAACACGGCCCTTCAGAACATCTGATGAGTCCAGCAGTTTTGGAGACTCCTCAGTAGAAATGAAGAAAGACGACGTGAAGTGAATGATTCACTTTTTGTTATCTATTTGTTGGTTGAAGCTCGGATAAGCACGGGTGTTCCAACAGATCACAAATCTCACGGATCATGGACCTTTGTCCCCGATCAGATCGGCCAAAAAAAAAGATATTTAGGGCCTGGGTCCACAGACGGAGGCGCTCACGACCTCCGTTTCAGAGCGCTTCTCACCAGCGCTCATTGTTGCTAGGTTACGAAAGTTAACGCCCGTTTCCCTCGGTACCATCCGTTAGGTGTGTTTCAGCTCCGGGTGTTTAATATTTACTGTAATTCAAAGAAATCTCACCAAGAAAACATGAAGATGATGTAGAGGAGTCGTGTCCTGACATCAGCAGCAGATCTACCTGGAAACTGTTGGGGGGGTCAAGATGGATCACAGATCAACTGTGACATTAAGGCTTATAAAATCACTGCTTGATAGATGTGAAAACTTAAACTCCAATGTTTTACTCCTTCATTTAATGTTTTACTTTCATGTCTTCTCTGACATTTCAGATAAACGTGATGAACCGGAGCAGAATGGATATATCTGAGTTTGGTAAGTACTCTTTCTTTGTCAACAATCAAAGCTTCAGTGCTTCCTTCAGTCTTTGTTGTCAGATGATATCAGTAAAAAGATGGATATCTGTTAGAAATGAATCCAAATGATAAATCAAAGGGTGAAGACAAAAGTGTCCCTCAAAGGACCCGGCCTTCAGTCTGTGTAGAGACCGCTCAGGCCGAACTGAAAGGAGACGGTCTGCAGAGGATTCTTCACATTACCCCCCCCCCTCACAAGGGCGAACTATGTTCAGTATGATTCAACATTAAAATCGATTAACAATCAAACAATATTATCAACATGTTTTTAACATTTTGAAATAACAGAGGAAACACAGGCAACGTTTTTAACTAAACTACCGCTAAACTAAAACTCTCCAAACTTCTCCTCCGATGTCTCCTCTCTATTCCTCACACACACACACACACACACACACACACACACACACACACACACACACACACACACACACACACACACACACACACACACACTGCACCGCTGTGTTCGTTCTCGCTCTCTCTCTCATCGCTCCCCAATATTAAAAACACATTGAATTAAACACCTGTTGTTGTAGTAATGATAACAATAATAAACGTAGGTCTATTTATCGTTATATGCTACGGCACTTTTCAAAACAAAGTTTTTCACATATGTACAGTATGATCCAACATTAAAATCAAGCAATATTATCAACATTTTTAAATAACAAAGAAAATACAGGCCACATCTTTAACTAAACTAAAACTCTCCAAACTTCTCCTCCGATGTCTCCTAGTCACTGAAATTTCCCCTTGCGGGGATCAATAAAAGTAAATCTTAATCTTAATCTTATTCCTCACACACGTCCTCCGCCCTGCTGTGTTCTCTCTCACTGTCATCGCTCCCCTGCTCCTCCCAGAGCGCGTCATGTGTGTTGATATTTAAAGGGACAGGCGAACAATTAGAGCTGCGCTCTGAATACTAGACCCCGAATATAAGACGACACGACTTTTTCGGACCTATTTTGATAGGGAAAAAAGCTGTCTTATAATACGGTACTTTAAACGTGTCTTGATATTTGATAGAACATTTTCTGTTTCAAGTTAAACATCAGTATTTGTAGTTATTCGATAGTTTTACTCGACAGCTCGTTTGAGTTGGCGTGCAATGAAAGTTGAGATTTGTCACAAAGGATGCACTGAATAGATCCTTTGTTGGCTGTGAGAAGGCGACTTGGTGAATGCTTTAAGCTTGTTGAAGAAATAAATAAAATACCTGTACAAAGACATGCTAACTGTTTCACCCTGCCTACAGCTACCTACTCTGACATGGCTGCAAACTGACAGAAAACATGAAATGTCTCGACAGTTTGATTCTAAATCCAAATGGACAAACGACCAACAACTCTCTGCTTCATATATCAGATAACACACTGACTGTTTCTGTTTCTTGTGTTTGCTGCAGGTTCTCCTGGTTCACATCAGGATTCAGGAATCTCTTTCACATCATCCATCTGATAACTGAAGTTCAGTTTTATGCACACACACATTTCAACATCACAGCTGAACATTATGGACATGTTCTGTCTCTTAACCGCTGACCAATCAAAATGTGCCTTTTGATATCAAGTTTTTAAAAAGGTTTTAAGCTTTTATACGATAAACATGAAAAATGTTACATGAACTCTTTAAAACACTTAATAATAACCATCATCAATAAAGGGTAAATTAATATTTAATTAACTTTAATAATGATATTAATGTTAACAAACAATGAAATGATCGTTTATAATGTTTACTAATTATTTGTAATGCTTTAATTGACGTTACAGTTTATTGTTGCACACATTAATTTATACACTTTATAAAGTGTTTGTGAATGATTTGTAAACCTTTTAAGAGAGGGTTTATAAAACATCCATAAACATTGGAGATACATGGAGCACATATTTGTTCATGCTTTATGAATAATTTATCACACGTTACGTTCACTTTGCAGAACAACTTTAGGACGCACTCACTCTGCAAAGTTGTCCCGTACTGTGCTTAAGCTCGATTGCCCCCCGTCCCCAGTCCCCCATCAGCCTGAGCTCACACTGCTCCAGTACTAACCGGGCCTGAGCACGGTAACCTCTTGAACATAACGTCATAATACAACACATGCATGGCTTTATGTTGTTATGAAACGTGCTCAGTTTACAAGACAGAAAATAAATATATTGAGTCAGCGTCTGCACATCAGAGAACAACATAGAGAACATAGCAGCTACTAAACTGACTTTTTGAGTCACTTTAGTCGATACAGACAGAACACTCCGGGATTTCTCTGCGGCTACTTTTCCCCGCTCCTCTCCCTGCACAGAGCGCCAGCCACAACGCACACCTGTTCACTTCTAGTTCAACAGAACACAGTGGGTCCGGACGTCTTTTCTCCGTTCACTGTCACTGTGTCTGCAGCTAACTTAGCGATAGCATCGTCTTTCTACAGTTTTACAAACCAATTATTGAAATTAACAAACATGTGCTCTATGTATCTCTAATGTTTATAGATGTTTTATAAACCATCTCTTAAAGGTTTATAAATCATTAACAAACACTTTAAGTGTATAAATTAATGTGTGCAACAATTAACTGCTAACATAGCGTCAGTTAAAGCATTACAAATAATTTGTAAACATTATAAACGATCATTTCATTGTTTGTTAACATTAATATCATTATTAACTAAAGTTAATTAACTATCAATTTACCCTTTATTGATGATGTTATTATTAAGTGTTACCAAACTTTTTAACTGGTTGATCAGTCTTCCAATGGTACAGCTGTTTGAATATGAAGTCCAAACAAAATCAGTAAAGCAGATTTTATTATCTGTTATTTACAAAATGATGTCACTGCCTTGGATGACCAACTAATCAAGGCAGGGAGACGTTTCCTGTTTCAACATCTCATTACGTTTTTCATGTATTTCGTTTACTGCCAAAGACATTCAGTATGAATATTATGTTCATGTTACAAAAACTCAGGACCTTAAACCTTAAACTATCAGGTACCTGTTAGACTACAGCCAGATCGTAGCCAATCGTAGAAACTGAATCATGTGAATGCTGTAGACTTTACATGCTGACTCATCCACAGTGCAGCAGGCTGCTCGGTGCTCGCTTTAGTTTTCTGTCCCGACTGAAGTTAAGAGACCGTAAACAAACTCCTATCAACCAAAGTATTCTCTAACTTTCCATCTTTTTTGTTTTTTCTTTTAAAGAGCCCATATTCTGCCCTTTTTGGGGTTCGTATATTTAATCTATGTTCCTACTTTTGTACGTTTACAATAGCTAAAGTTCTAAAAAAGTGTCTGTTTTCATGAACTGCTCCTCCTTGCTCCCTCTCCGCTCTGAGTCCGTCAGCTACACTCTGTTGACCCCACACTGTTAGACCCCACGTGGGCCAAGTCTGCTCTGATTGGTCTGCCGATCCGCTCCGTCGTTATTGGTCAGTTGCTCAGCACGCTTCTCGGAAATGTCCCGCCCCTTTTTCCATATTGGGAATGCAGCCACTCTGGCTCCGTCCGAGGGGAGCATAAACATTAGCATCTTAGCACTACTGTGCTACCGCAGGCTACAGCATATCGTGGGCGTGCTACAGAAGTTAACGGGCGTGCAACATGAGCTGCTGGGCCACAACGAGCCAATGGGCTGAGATCAGTGATCTCACACTGACAAGACGCCACACTAACAAATTTTTATCGAGGGGGGCTAGAACCGAGCGTTACATGCAGCTAATGCTACAGCTAACAGGAGGACGTTTTTGCCTAAACATGCACAGGACACACTAAAGAGCATATAAAACCAGAAAAAGCATAATATGGGACCTTTAAAGGAGCCTTTATGTTCAAAAAGAGGCATTAAGAGTTGATAAATTACGTGTTGGCTAGATGGATTAAAGTTGGTCATAGGCATTTATAGTCCGATGAAGCTAGGGAAGAAAGCAACACTGTAATAAATATTTAATAATTTAATAATATAATTAAAGGTGAATGTAGTTTATGAGAGCACAAGTGTTAGTTTGTGGTTTAAGATGTTAAAACACAAACGTGAAGATATGTGCTGCCTCTTTCTCCACTTTAACTTAAATGATTTGCACTGAGGCTTTATCTTCTGTTGGCTTGTTTTCTGCTTTGTCATTTTTCTGTGTGCTGTAAAGTGATCTGTAATGAGATATAATGTCTTCATTTATGTGACGTATTTGTCTATAGGAAGTTTGTGTTTTTTGTCTTTCTGCCACATTAGCTTGTTTTGTCTGTTTTATTTACCTGGTAGGAAAAAAGTGAATGGTATTGTTTTTAAGAAGTGTAAATAATGTACAAATAAATGATCTTTTTTAAGTCATTCAATGTCTCTGAAAGGTTTTGTTGTCTAAAGATTAGATTAGACGAGTCTCCATTAAATAATAAGAGGGAGTGTACCCTCTATCACAGGAGAACGGAGTAAAGTCTAATCTGTGGATGCATCTCAAAGTCCTCTTTGGGCTTCTGTAGTTTCAAACTTCATCTCCTCAAGTTTAAGATTTCTAAGATAAGATTTCTTGGCACTCTTCCTTCAGCCTGACTCAGACTGCAGGATAATCGGCCGATTTGAGATGCGATTCCTCCTTACCGACGATCACGGCGGTGTTCCCGACTCGAGGCTGCTCTGACCGGTTATCTTCACAGATTGTCTCGTAGTGTGAATCTTATAGAGAGGAAACAAAGAGACGTATTTCTGTAGGCCAACCCGGGAGTTAGCATCTCCATGGGCTCTTTAGGAAGAAGACTTTGGGATTTTTGCATCAGATTTTGAATTATTGCTGAAAATAATCTCTGTGGCAAACAGACGTTTATGAAGCTTTGGCGTTTGGTTCAGAAAGATAATCTTCATAAATGAACACCGCTTTTCTGATGTTTGAAGCTTTAATGTGATCCTCAGAAGTTACCGTGTGTCTGAATGTAACTTTCAACATGAAGACGTTTAAAGTCCCCGACAACCGCACTTTCATTTAGCCACTCGTTAGCAACCGCCTTTGTAAGGACACGTGAAAACTTCACATGTGGGAGTCTTCACTGACGTGTTTAATGTCGTACAATGTGAACATCTCTTATTCTTGTGTTAAACACAGACCTTATTTCAGTCATCTAACCACCGACCTATTAAAAAAAACAGAGTTTGAGGGAAACGACCCCATGGCGCTAAAATGCTAACTTACTTCCTGGTTTAAGAACTCGTTCCTGTGGCGCCCTATACAGACGCAATCTTAACGACCCTGACCTGCTCGGAGATCGTCAGGGACGCCCTGATTTATATCAAACGTCAAGTGTTGGGTTTTTAGAATTTAAAATCTTGAAGATTATGTCATGAAAGGGTGGAGGAAGTATACAAATAAGATGTAAAATCAAATAAATTAAATGTATATTCATATATACACATACATACAGATATATATGTATGTATGTATGTATGTATGTATATATACATACATACATACATACTTGATTTGAACAATTATAAACACTTGTAAAAAGAAACCTGAATCCGATCTGAGTCAATAAAACATTATTTAATGTTTGTCATTAATCATGAATCCACGACACAGCAGTTTGTTTAGTGAGTAGGAAATAAAACGTGAGTATTTACATCTACCGTCATACACGTCACAGTTTATACTCATGCTAACACAATAAAGACTTTTATGTACAAGAAATACTCAGAAGCATCATCATACAAAGAAATGCCTCCTCAGTAAATCACCTCCTGGATCATTGATGCAAAATACACAAAGTAATTGTAAACTCCCGTCAGATGCCCTGATTTAATCCGAGTGATGAGACAAAAGGAAAGAGCTTCGTTTGTTTAGGTTTTAAAAACATGAGAAAGAACAAGGCAAGACGATCACAATCTACATGTTTACAAGGTTTCGCCTTTATGAACGGTATAAATACACTCTGTCAGAAGTCCCCTCTGCACTGAATATCCCCCCAACATTATCCCTCTTTTTAGCGTCACAGCATTTACAACAACAGAAATATAAGAAGTACAAAGTGAGTTCAGTGGTTTTAGTTTCACGACGTGCTCACTGCTAATCTATCTGGTGATTCTCTTTGTGTAAATTATCTGTAAACAAACTACAGCTGCAGTCGGCACCTTAAATCATCCTCCCCCTCCTCTTTATTCAGTTCTGCACTAAAATGTCTGCTCATGAGATGCTTTTCTTTTGTAACTTTTACAAGAATATAAGAAGAACAAAACGTCAGCTCGTGAAGAAAAAGCAAATAATTTAATCTGAATGTTGAATTATTAAAGGTCACATATCCTCCTCCTCCTCTTCAGTGTAAATAAGTCTCAGAGCTCCTCAAAACATGTGTGTGAAGTTTCTTGTTCTAAATCCACTCTGATCCTGTATTTGATCATGTCTATAAACCCCTCTATTTCAGCCCTGCTCAGAACAGGCTGTTTCTGTGTCTGTACCTTTAAATATGTAAATGAGCATCATTGGTGGGTTTGTAGACAGACTAGAGACACATGTTAGAGTTAGAGGAACATGGAGAAGTGGATTTAATATAATTTGAGACCTTCAAAGTAAATCTTCTATTTCCAGGAACAGAGGTTCCTGTTAACACAGGCTCCAGTTTATGATTTCATTACTGAGTAATTATCTGATTTGAAAATTACCTGAAAAAAAAGTGAATGAGGTCCAAAACGGTTTTCTTAAAACCCAGATGAATATCTTATATTGGGAAGATCTTCAAGTTGATTTGTCCTGTGTGTATTTTAGAGGCCAGGAGATGTATTTTCTGCCAAACGACTTCTCTTCTGAGTTGTTTTCTGCCTGTGGGAGACTTTCACTGACATTACTTACATTTCTAAATTCATTATGTTTTTTTTTATCCTCCACTGGAGAGACAGGAGAGAGGGAAGATTCAGACCTCTGGGAGAGAGAAAGAGAAAATGGGGAATGACATGTGGGAAAGCAGCCACAGGTTGGACCTGGGCCGCTTGCCCTGAGCACATGGGGCGTGCAAACCAACCACCCTGCCTCTAGCGCCCCTACGTAAATTGGGCACAGATTGTAAACTGTGGGAAGGGTTTCGCAGTCGTTCTTTTTTGGCAGCTGTGAATAAACAGCCTTAACCATAACACAGTGTGGTAGATAGGACGCTAAGCTAAGTGAGCTAACAGCTGTCAGGAGAGAGAGAGAGAGAGAGAGAGAGGAGGTGGAGTATGGGATGACAGAACATAATCAAAGCAGCTGGTTAATAAAAAAGTGTTACATTTTCAAAGCAGACTAAATGAACCCTTCAGAGTTCTTTGACATCAGGACGTCAGAGAGAACGTTTATCTTCCTGTCAGAGTCCAGTGAGAACTTCAAACACGTCTCCAGTGCTTTAACTAGTTTCTGTGGAAAAAGTCTCTTTTAACCACTGAACATGCATACAAAACGGCTTCCTCATTAAGAAATGTACAGTTTATTACTTTCATAAAAAATGGCAAAAGGTGTATATATATATCTATATATATAGATATATAGATATATATATATATCTCATAGTTTATATTCTCTATAAAGGTGGTCTATCTGTTTCCCCTCCTGGACTGACACTTTTCAGGAGCTGCGGCGTCAAAAACCTGCGAGCGTTTGAGTGTGAGTCATGAAGCCAGGCCCGCTTCTACGAGGTGCAAAACGATGCACTGCAGCCTCAATTCAAATTTCTGCATCCTCGACTGAATGGATGCAAAAAAAAAAGTTACTATCTTTTTTTTTTTAAATACGTAATAATGTCTTTCAAATGACAACAGTGACTCACATCATGTTTACTGAATCCATGATGTGATGCTCATGTGACCTGTCCCTTCACAGTGGATCACATGACCCAGAACACCTACACTACTTTTCATCGTGTTGCCGATCGGCCTGCAGCGAGCAGCTACAAGCCGATCAGGAAGTCTTCCTCTTGCATATTTCTACATGTTTTAACATTTCTCCTTCAGGATTAAATAGAACATATTTATATATTTTAAACACATTTTTGATTTCTTGTTTGTAAATGTAAATACTCTGTCTGTCTCTTTCTGTTCTTGTTATCAGTGGAATAACAGGATGGGGATGTAGAGCTTCTTTGCGTCCGTCCATTGGTCGCTGTGCGAGATTAAAACTGACTTAAGTCTTCGCTCTAACGTCTTTATCGTTGTGTAAATAATGTGCAACCTCAGCAAAAACATCTAAAAACCTCCGCTCTGTGAAAGTTCTGCATCGTTTAAAAAAATATGTGAACGTTTTATTTGTTATGCTTCTTTTTCGTTTTGGTGCTTTGTTACGTTGTTAAAGTGCAGCTTGTCATGAGGAATAAATGATTCATGATTTCTTTTTAAACTGAAAGTTTGATCGATGTGATGAAAGAAAATAACTAAGACGTCGAATCATCGATGGAGAGCTGTGCATGAGGTGTGACACAATGAGGGATATGTAATGGTGGATATTATATCATGAGGGATTCAGTGATTAATGATTCTTTGATTTAACAAACAGAGCTGGACGAGCTCGTTACAGGAAGCAGTGACATGAGGAAGATCGTGTTTTAACGATGAAGACGACAGAGCTGATGTGCTGAAGACGGGCGGAAAGAAACAAAAGATGATTTGACTTTTACCCTCATCGGACCTGAACACCTGAGAGGATCCTACTCTCCTTTTATCAGTTTTTTTCTGGTGTTCACATCTTTCTCTCTTCTGTAAAAAGTTTCTTTCGGTTTATTTCACTTCTCAGAGTTTCTTAAATCCCCGGCAGACGTCTCACTCCTCGCTGATGCCGTGCTCCCACGCCACCTTCGCCTGCTCCTCCTTGGTC